AATTATCTAACCCTAAAAAATTTTTTTGTATACTTTAAATACAACTAATATATTTAAAGTATACAAAAAATTTTTTTTAGGGTTAGATGATTTTATATCAGTATACAGAGAGTATACAAAATATTTTAGTGTCAACCATTTCGAAAACTGTGATAACATATTTCATATTTTTTTTAAGAAATACCAATTTGTTCAAAAAATCTGAATCAAGCCTATTACGCTTATCTATTACATGATTGCTAGCATTAGAAAATAGGCGCTCTGATAGTACGGAAGATGCTGGCACTGCAAAATATCTTCTTGCTAAAATTGCCATAGTAGAAAAGAAGGTTTTGTGTTTATGCCACCATTCTAAAGCACAAGATCCTTCGTCAAGAGTAATTTCGGAAAGTTCACAATATCGGTCAAATTCATCAGGCTCATTGTTAGAGTTTTCTGTACGCATATGCATAAAAAATGCTGATATCTTGGTTTTTTTACGTTGATATGAAGATGTTAAAAATAGATCATTATCATTAGTTGATGTTGGATTATCATTAGAGGTTTGTATTGGACATAGCTTATTATATTGTTAACGCATATTTTGAATAGTTGTATACTGTAAAGCACTAGTGCAGAAAGTTAGCTTTTTAAAACATGGATCGAGGAAAAAGCAGCATATTCCTATTTCACTTGGATCACCTCAATTAAATTATTTAAAATCGTATCTTTAACAAAAATTGCCATACTATTTTGTCCAGTAAAATATCTAAGCTGATGAGCAAGTTCTTCTAAAATTGGTATCATGAAACCAAGTGTTGGATACTTAGATCCGCTTAAAAATTGAGTGGCTTCATCAAAAGGGGAAAGAACTTTAATGAGTTTTTCTAATAATTCAAATTCTTCTAAAGAAGGAATATAAGGACCCATGGTTTCTGCTCCTTTTCTGACCTCTCTAATTGTGTGATTAGTAAGAGTTGAGTATAATTGTATGATTGCAGGTTTTAAATATACAAGATATTCAATAGCATAAAGAGTAGAATTCCAACGTGTATCTATGTCTTTAATAACATCAAGTGGCTCTTTAAGCCCTGGAGTAATCTGTAATTGAGCTTTACAAAGTTGTCTACATTTTTTTTCTTTTGATAAAATTGAGATAAGTAATTTATATTTTAAAATGATTTTTTCAACTTTCTTTAAACCTAAATTAATACTCAATTGAAGTGTATGCCTAGCACATTTCACATTTGAAATATCCATTCGTTGTATTGCGGACTTGATGTTGAATCCATTATCAGTAGTAATTGAAAAAACATTTTGACAATTAATTTCAAATTTATTAAGAACAGAATTAACCAATTCAACAATATCAGATGCATGATGTTTATCCAACTCTCCAATGTTAAGTATGTTCTCATATGAATCAAATGAATCTGAAAGCCAGTGGCAAGTGATTTCAAGATAGCTATCATATGTTCGCGATGACCAAAGGTCAAAGGTTAAAGAATAGTATCTGATGTCTTCGAAATAAGATCTATAATTTAATTTATTGCAGAATCATAGAAATTAAATATAACGGTTTTAATAGTATTAATACATGGAACTTTAAATCGGGGATTGAGATTTTTTGTCCAATGTCTAAAATCATTATCATCAACAATAGAAATAGGCTGAGCACATACAATTATGTAGTGTACAAGTTGATATGTAAGCTTTTTTTGAGCATGAGAAAAATGAGATCTTGAAATTACTTGGTAAATCATTTGTTGCTTTGCTTTTACTAATTTATTTTTAAGTGACTCTTTAGTAATTTGGTGCATATTACAAAGATGAGTTATACAATTACTAGTTGATTCTTTCTATACATATTCTGTATCACAATATTCAAATTTACAAGAAATCTTTTCCACTTTTATTTCTTTATTATCTAATAATTCCACTGCTGTATATTTTTCAAAAAACTTCCAAACAAAACTACTAGGTATTTTCATTTTTTTTTTTTTTTTTTAGTTACCTTAGTATTTTGAGTAGATGAAGCCGAGGTAGATAAAGCTGGAGTAGATGTAGATGTTGAAGCTAATAATTCAAGATCACTTTCTTTATCTTGGCCAGATGAAAAATTAAATTCATTATCAGAATCATCTATCATGGCTCTTTTAACCAAAAAATAACTAAAACCTCTCCCTTAGTTTATTACCCTTTTATACTATTGAACATTCGATTTTGGCATTAAAAATACTTACATATTACAAATCATAAAACCAAGAAAACGAGTTCTATACAAGATAATATCCAGGCTTAAAAATCCATATCGATATAACTTTTGTAAATTGATTATTAATGTTAATATATTTTTTCATATTATAAAATTTACTAACGCTAATTCATATAATTCATTTAACTGCATATTCACCTAGTTTGAATTATATAAAAGCCAATTAATATCACAGAAATGAACTGGTAGGTTTTAACATATGGCGTGTCTATTTGAAACATCCTTTTCTTTACTAATAACCAATAAATTTTTAATTTACATACTTATGAGAACAACAAATTTCATTGGAAAAAACCTCTTCTAGTTTTTTTTTTCCTTTTTATACTATTCACTAATTTTAATAAAAATCCTGTGAAATCATACGCATGTTAAATAAGCTCATCATATATAGTGTACATAACTATACATATGTTACTTCTATTATTCTAACCAATTGCTGATTAAGATCATATAACACAATTACTTCATATGTACGTAAATTTAAAGACTTCAATATCTCTTTAACAAGTGGCATACCGAAATAAATTTCCTAAATTATCGCAAGAGATCTAGAACTCAGAATCTCTTCGCATAAAAACAATAAGCAAAGAACAATGTGTATGTAATAGCATGCTTTAGTTTATCTCCAATAAGTTAGTTTAGATTTACTGCACTATATATGCATACATATATACCTGTTATCCTTTTTTAATACATAACTATTAAAAGTTATTTAGTTGACTAATATAAATAATAGTTAGTTAGCAACTAGTTGACAACAGATGATTAGTTGTAGTTAATCGATTAGTTGTTTTCAATTTTTTTAAATCGATTAGTTGAAAAGTTGTCAACTAGTTGGCTTTTCAACTAACGATTAGAAACACTACTAGTGATCTTCATTTTTCTCAACATGCCTAGTATCATCACACAAGAATAATATAATCACGAGATCTCAAGATTTTGAAAAAATAATCAGTTTTTTTTATTTTATTTATTCAACTTATTAATTATCACTACAAGATATAAGTCACTTCAAATGTATACTATTCTGCTATTAATAAAAGGTAGTCCACTACAAGCTTTTTTGTTCATTTAAATCTTTAATAATATATATTTCATACTATTAGTACAAACTTCAATTTCAATTTTTGCAATTATATATTCTATTAATATATCTTATATTGGATTTTTAAGAATCTTATTTTTTAACGGCATTCCAAATCACATCCAATATCTTATGTTCACTTTAAATAAGAAGATTTTTGATAATATTTGAATGCATATATTCACTTTTACAAGCATAATTATTTATTCCAGAGACAGAATTCCAATTAGTTAAAATACATATCTATCTTTACTAATCAATACATTGGTAATTTTTATAAATATAATTAGCTTATTCCTAAATATTTATCTTTATTTACTAGATATAATTAATGAACATAATTTGTTTGAAATAAAGTTCGCACATTAATACAATAGTTTAAAATAAACTTTGTATATCTTAATTTGCATGATATTTATCTATTGAATATAAATTTTTTGATGCTTAGAAGATGAACAGGAAATATTATTATAAGAAAAATATAGATTTCTATTTTTGTAATCAAGAAGGTCTTTAATTGCCGATTTTTCATCTTTATTTTTCTCTCTATCTTTCAAGGTTTTATGAAAAAAGTAGGAGACTTGTTGGTGATTCTTCTTTTCAACAGCGCTACAAGAAAAGGATTTTAATCTCCAATGTCTATGTATTCGCATCATTTTAGCCGCATGATAAGCATGTAAGGCATAATATTACTTAGTAAATATAAACCTAAAATTACTTCTTCATTCGCTTCCCAATTGCCACTAGAAGGTGTTAAAAACAAATTTAACCATTCTTTTGCACCTTTTCGAATATATTTGGATCAGTAGAATTATTTCATAAATTATCATAAAGTTGTGAAAATTTGTCTCATAAATCTCTAATTTTAGCTGCTTATGAAAATATAAAAAGTAAATTAAAATTAAAGTTTTTTAAAACTTTTATCTTATCTTCTCCCATCAACAATGTATAGTTCCAGCTTTTTAATTCTTGTTCTTTCCAAAATTGAAATTGAACTGAAATATGTTTCATTTCCTCTATAATTACCTTGCGAGTAAATTCATCAAAAAGATCATCATCTTGCAATTCATTTAATACTAAGCGCCAAAGACAGTCAGTTATCCTTAGCATAGTATAGAATTACCCAATTATCTAATGAGATCATATTGAAAAGCAGAGGATTTTTGTGACCATTATAGATAGTAAAATCAGCATTTAATTAATCCATTGATTTGCTAATTGTCCATTGTACATCTAAATTTTCTCTATTATCTTTATTTGTATTACACCAAGGACAATAGTAATAAGAGTTTGCTGCATTAAACCCCAAACAAATACATAAAAATTTCCAATCGGCAGAGAAATAAAAATTAACATTCCAAGTAATGTTATTAATTTTTATTTCTAATTCTTTTAATTAATACAATTTATTTAAAAATAATGATATTGTATTTTTTAAAGAATTATAATTTTCACTTCCAGGATATAATACTACAACATAATGGTGGTTTGAAAAATAAAGATTTGATTGATCATCAAGAATTGCACATGTTACCATTACATGTTTGATTTTTCTTCCAACATTTCTTCCATCACCTGATATTCGAAGATTAATACTTAGATTTTTTGGATTTAAGATATTTTGATTAATCAAAAAGGGCATTATATAATTTAAAATATCTTTAATGCTATGATATCCTGCTTTTCCAATTGCATTAGTTACTTGTTCTATTATATCCGAATCATCTATATCTGGTTGTTCATTTTCTGGTAAATTAACTTCAAATCCTGTTTTTATATTAATCAACTTGATCAGAATTAATTTTTGTATTTCATTATCAATTTGAATTTTTGTATTAAATACAATATATTCTCGTGGTAAATTATATTCCAAGGCTGTTAAATTTTTATAAGCCTCCCGAGATATTAAGTTTTGATCCATTACTTATACAAAAGGCATTGCATATTGTTTTTGATTTTCTTTATTTTGCTTATTATATTCAATTGTATAAAAATTGGTATCAACTGAATATTGAAGTAATTCTAAATTAGAAACATCTAATTGGTTATAATATTCATTACTCAAGGTTTGAAAATTATTATAAATTTGTGTTACAAACTTTCGAGC